ATGATGATTCGTTGAGAAAGTAAGGAAAGGGAGGGATGAGAAAGGATGTACTGATAGAAGCTACCGAATGCAACCGCACAGCACCCGCAAGCATCAATCACTATTCGGCCTATGGCGGACTCAATTACACAGAATCTGCATACAAAGCTCCCTCACCCTTCCCAGCGGTCTACAGTCGTTGCCAAAATGCTAAATAGGAAAACTACAGAGAGCTAGAGAGGAGGGGTCACTCACAATGGCCACACAAATCAGTGGACGATGATGTCCACTCTGCCTGGATAAACCAACTGACCCGCACTGCCTTCCCACTAAGCTATGCCATCAGTTGGCATTCCTGCAGACGCTCTGTCTACCACACTGCTTCGCAAGGCGTGAACACTAGTGCGGCCGGCGCCGATGATTCTTATGTCCATGCTAAGTGTAGCGACAGGACAAATCAGGGCTCCGTCCAGCCGGCTGCCATCCAGGCAGCCGTCACGTATGCAATCGCCACGTGGTTGCCAACTACCGCCCGGCCGAATAGCACAAACAAAAATGTAATCATTCTCATACGCTCAAAGTTTTCCGGTAAAAAAAAGATGCCATGTGGAACGAACAACCAGACTTCTCTGCCACAAAGTTGCTTCTTTCACTCTGATGTGCATCGCGTTTCAGCACAGCTAGTTCTGGCGTTCCTTTCGTTTTTGGCATCCCACTTAAACGGAAGCAGAGAGAGCAGTCAGTCGTTCGCCGGTATTTTCTGGTCACTTACACACTACCGATAGCCCACAGTTAATTGCATCCCAGTATGCAGGCCTCCCATGCCAGATCTTCTTTCACCATCAACTGACTTCCCACCCAATAACTCCGTATCCCGAGAATTCCGGAGGCTCCATGGAAGTTATGAAGCCGAGAAGTGATTTTAAGTTTAGGAAAATCACAAAGAAGCAAAAGATGTTCAAATTCAGAGTCAGCAGCGCCTAGGATCGTAGGCCAAAGCGTTGGCTTTCTTGCTTCCGTGTTTCAGCAGCAGCTAGATGCACATGCACAGACCGGTAGGGGAACGCAATAGGAAATTGCTGCTTACAAGAAACGTATAATTATATTTGATGGCGGAGGAACAAAAAGAACGATGCACAATCATGAATGCAAACAGTTATGACAAGCCGCAGAAATCTTGCGGAAGCGATTTTGGATTTCCTGAAACCTTTCACTGTCTCTGTTGCTAACACAAGGACAGTGAAAGGCTCCCTCCAGATCCTTTTAAAGCAAGGCGCGACAAGGATTTGGTTGAAGCAGAGCGAGAGGGAACAGGGGAGGGGGGAGGGGAGGGAAAGAGGGGATGTTATCCATTTCTATTTCAAATGTCGCCCACGTGTCGCTTATTTTTTTGCAGATACGACTTCGTGCTGAGTTGTCCATCGGTTGTTAGCACAGCTAGCAGCATGCCTGCACATCAGATTTTGCTTGCACACTTCGTCACACTTCATGGCGCTCACTTAATAGGAAGCCTGACAGTCTATGTAGTAACGAAGAGACACTGCAAACACCGCTCGCTCCACTGTTCTCAGTCACAAGTAGGTAACACTTTTCTGCTTTCATTACCACATTACGCATCAACACGTCACAGCTTTCAAAACGGTGTTATTGAAGAGGTAAGCACAGCCCTTTCGGTTCGACATTTCCAGGACTTTTAAGATGGTGGAGGGACCCATAATTTGTGTAAAAACAAACTTGTTTCAGTTAGAAATCCGAAGAGAAATTCACACTAGTCTGTCTACTGCTACTGTGCATCGTGATGATCAACGATCAACAAGGATCAGGAGCAACAGCTAGCTGCTGGTAAATGCACTTTCGCTACAATGATTTCCAGCATCATCATCAACGGTAACGTTAATAAACTGCAAACTGCTTAGGATGGAAAGAGCTGAATTTCAAGCGGTTGTAAAAACAGGAAAAGAGCTGCTGCGTTTAACACCGAATAATGAATGAAGTAATGCATGCGAATTGTTTCGGTGGACAATTGGAAATAAGAGTGCTCACTGGTCGGGACTAACGTAGAGTTCAAAAACAGTGACTCAGCCGAGTACCACCATGAGCAGCGGAAGCAGTCGAGCGACGAGCGCAGAGGCAAAGAGGAAAGTCATTCAACGGATAAAGTTTATATCAATAATGTCCGGATGACGCGTTCCAGCGCGACAGGAAGTGGAGGAGGAGCCTCAGCAAAAATTTTTGGGTGAGAGAAGGAAGACGATAATGCCTTGCTGCGAATCTCCCCCTGGTCCCTGCATTCTCCGAGAAAATGATTTCCGGCAGTTCGAAACAAACACTTTGGCTTCTGGCCCTTCTTTGTTTTTTCCCCAGCATTTCCGTTGCTGTTCCTTCCCATGTGCTGCGCTGGCATGCACTTTTCACCGAACACTGATTCGTTAATAACAAATTATAAATAGAGCAGAAGCATTAACCTCTCGAACGGCTGTAAAAACGCCTATGAAAGCAGTCATCACTGTATTGCGAACGGCTCTCAGTGGCAATCACATTTACACGAGCATGTCTAAGCAACCATTTATTATTATTGTTATTATTATTATTGTTATTATTGTTATTGTTATTATTATTATTATTATTATTATTATTATTATTATTATTGTCACTCATTATTATCATTGTTTTTTTTTTGTTACTAGTATTATTGTTATTATTACTATTCCTTCAGAAAATTGGGCGCAGGCATCTCACTGCGGTGAGACGAACTAAACGGTATATAAATGAAGCATAAAACTTTGGTAGCTCAAATTACTTCTGAAGGAATTGTGCTACAACTGCAACGACAGGCATCTGTTAATAAGAAATAACCAGCATAAAAATCACGTAATACAACTTGAGAAAGAAGAGAAAAATCCCGAACACTTGCGAAGCTACTAGGCTTATAGCGACGAAAGTGAGCGGTGATCGATGCTAAAAATTTCAAATAGTTCAACAGTGTCACTTTGAAACAGAATGAACGCTTTGATGTGCGCCTACAACTGTAAACCATTGCCAAGAAGTGAATTCTCAAACAGTCGCCTCCAAAGAATTGGCAGAACATCATGCGACATCAGAAATGAGCGTAAAGCACGGAGGACTTAACACACATTGTAAACTAAGAAAAAAGTAAAACTTATTTTGCTTGACAAAGAAAAACGGAAAAATACTGGAGGAGCCGGATTTATCCTCAGTACGATGTGATCTTTACAGAACATCTACACTCAGATTCACTTGTTGCGAAGCAGAGTGTTTAGGACGAAAAAAAAAAAAAATAAGAAGTGAAACGGGCTAGAAAAGTTCTCAAATTTTTGTATTAAACGTCGTTCCCTTGTTAATTTCAATTAATTTTATCAAAAACAATGATTCCGTCGTGGAACGACTTGTGGCCTCTTCTAGAACAAGGAAACCCTGACAACTCAAAGGCCGATGCATAGCTCTAAATGAGACTGACTGGCGGCTGCGCGACAAGGGCTGAAGATAAAACCTGCGAAACTACGGCAAATTTTGTGAGCATAGAAGAATTCTCAAAAATTTGTTTTTCCAATTTGTCAACCGGCGCAAACATTTTAAATTTTGCTACTGACAGTGAAATCAGGCTTGTGGACCGCAAAGTTGCCCTTACCGGACGATGTAACGGGATGTACTGATAAGAACTACCCCACGGATGCATTTGTCTCGCCCGCTGAAAAGGCTCAGCAGTCATCCTGTGAATTGCAAGTAGTTTAGAGGAAAATGCTTCAGCAATTTTGCTCGTGCACTGTATGTCCTGTTTACCATGAACGAAGACAAATTTTGCATCTAAGACCGGTCGTATGCTTTCAAGTTGGAACATCACTACTGCTACTGCTGCCGAGTTTCGGCATCTTTCTTCACCAAACTTTCATTCCATTTTCACTTCGAAACATGCTGAATAACAACACGAAATTGTGACTTTTGGCAAGAATTATTGGGCAGTGTTTTCTAACAGATCAACAAGTCTCTGCGGTTAAAAATATTGGTACTACATATAAAAACAAAGCAAAATGTTAGAAGTGCGAATAAGCCATTATTGAAAAAGACATGATCAGGAGAAGGATTGACTTATGCTTCATAGTGATGAAGGAAAAATTAAAAAGTACAGTTGAGAATGGCTATTTTTGCACTCGTCTATTTGCTTAACGTTTTCACTCACTTGAGACATTTTAGTAATCTGCAGCACTGCTTTCCACATACCCAGAAACATCCAAAAAATCGATGATCTAAGAGTCCACAGGACTCAGCGACGATGCACGACTTATCTATGCGACAACAGCACAGATTATTGAACTAGCAGGAAGATTTACCGAGCAGATTACATACAACGTTACTAATTTGTTGGTAAAAGCGATTCTTTGACAGTGCCGGGTATATCTGTTTCATTTAAAAAATTTTTAAGCAGAATTACTTGGGAAGCGTATATAAATCGAACAGGCGGTATACGTACCGGAGACATGTAAATCAGGAAAAAAAGGCCAGCACGGCTGCATTCGGCGTGTGGGGAAATCATGGTAATATCACTAACATAGCACCTCATATTGACTGTTTGAATAGTCTTGACATTTTTGGTACTTGAATTTTTTTTTTAGTTTTTCTATAACCTTAAACCGTCCAGCATTTGATTTCCTATATTGTGTGATCATATTCATTTCTCAACTTGGGCTAATTTCTTTTGCCTGCCCCTCTAATTACAATTCTGTCACTGTTTTCTACATTTTTATATGCAAAAACCTTATTGTACTGGTTCATAGAAAATGGCAAAAGAGATTTTCAACAGAATACACAAAAAAACTAGTGAAAAAGGGCAAATTCTGCAAAATGATCAAACTGATTAAGTGTACAAATACCGAGGCAATTTCTCGGATCCGGATCTGACTGTGCATATATTGGTAAGCTCAATTCTCGACAAGATGGGCATCATCGGTTTGGCTTTTTTTTGTTTTTGATGACAACTCCTCACAACTGTTTTAACTGATCATTCATTGAACACTTACCCTTATGCTTGGCTCCACTTCCAAAGCGTACGGCTGATTCTGATACATCTGAATATCACTGATAATTGCCGCAATTCGACGACATTTCACGAACGATACCATCACTTTGCGGCTTGCCACACCCACAATTGATGCATTACCCTCACTTCCATTGAGCTAAAAAATCATTTCAAAAACGACAAAAAATATCGCATATGCTGCAATTTAGATAGCAATTTCAAAAAATTAACGAAAACAGCACGGAGCCTGGGCATGCACTCCTGAAGAAACAAAACCACATCTTTAAGTCGCAGCCAGTACGAAAGAAGTTAGAAATGAAAGGGAACCTGATCATGAGCCAGGTCTTCTTCGCTTTGCACAAATGTACTGTTTCCTTCTTCGTAGAAAAAGATTTTTGAAAGATAATGACCTAAAGAGAAATTCATGCATATAAACCAGAACAAAGATTTTATAACTCGCAAAGACATCAAAGCGGCTGTCCTCAGATGTTTCCACTCCTCCTCATCGCTCAGGTTGATTTAACGCACAACTAATCCCCAAAATACAGCGAAAAGATTGTCAGTTTTAACACACATCAAATGATACAAATATTCAGCGGGCCACAAGGAGTCGGTTAGACATTTTTACAACAAACTGTTGCGGGGAAACAGTGGATGAATTCGATAAAACACAGAGGACCGGTTTTGCCTTATTATGCTGTTTATTCGATTTGCTAAAAAAAGTGTGTAAACATTTCAAAAAGTTCAAGGCTTGCTTTGTTCGGGAATTAAAATGCCAAAATACATTTGAAAGCGTGAGTCAGAGCAAAAAATAGTTTTTAAAATGAGCTTTTGGTTACTCAGCTTGTAGGGTGCTCTGAACAACAGCCGAAACTTTGAGTCGTTAGCCAAAGCCACTTCGAAATTATGCGTTACCTTTACGAACTTTGTGTCAAACAGTTACGGTTTTTAACTTTGTCGACCTTCTAGCTGTTAAACTAGCCCGTGTTTGAACAGGAAATCATAAGCTAAGCCAGAAAGAATTACGTTGGTATCGAATTTGTGGTCCCAGGAATAGCCAGAGGATGTTTCAAAGATTTCAATCCTGGAGATTTTTTGGCTCTCACGCCGGAGAATATGCCCGACCAGGTCAGGTGACAGAACGGCAAAGGGCCAGGAATTCCTTCCCGATGTTCAGTATTTTAGCTTCTGCAATTCCCAAGTTAGACATACACGCATACACATACACACATATACAATTTCACTTTAATGCTTTTTTGTTGTACCAGCAACACACTAAGAGTACACAAAGCTTGAAGAAACCATTTGAACCATGAAAAGCAATACCGGTTAGACAGAAGAAAAACTTGCCAAAAAATGGGACGCATGGAGGGTTGATGCTTTTCAGACGCTCAATCATTTCCTTCCAGTGAGGGTTGCAGAGCTTCTTGAATTTCTCGTATGACGTTTGCTTCTCGCGATCCATTCGCTTAAAAATTTTTGATTAGACCTTTCAAAGCCCGCCTCGAAATGGTATTTCAAGAAAAGAACGGTCCTCTAATTACACAAACATTCCACGGCTCTTCCCGAGACGATAGACAGCTTGATCACTTCTTTTTCTCACTGTGAACAGTGGCCATGAAACGAACGAAATAGAATAGGGAACTGGACTGTAAATTCCTCATCATGTGCTTTTATTAAGACCTTGTTATTTTACTTGCTTTTTGAATTGTTGCATATGTGAATGAAATTATTTCGTTGTCTTTCTTACCCGTTTGCTGCTCCTACCGTGGTACTAATCTCAAGTGCGCAGTGTTCTTTTTAAAAATTACGTCCTATTACCTTTTCTTTGCACGAAATGCCACTGGAGAGCAGACGGAATGCGTCTCAAAAATGATACAGAAAGCTACCGCTAACTGCAAACAGATGAAATGCTCTTGGAAGGGTTTGAGTCACTTTTATCCTGCGAAAAAAACGATATAATTTTCAGCCCAAAGGGTTACTGCTTAACACAAACCTATTGCCGCCAGGCGTAAGAAACTGAATGGACCCGCAGTCATCACTTTAAAAGAGCCTTTAAAAAGTAATGGTGTACCAGACAGGAATGTAGTCACTGACAAAGGAGACAACTGCACAACAGAACACGGTCACTTCATTCTGCGCACATGCACTGTGGACAGAGCCGATGGGGGCGGTAGGGAAGAAATTCAATACAACAGGACGCCCTGATATGAATCTCTGCTTGTGGTTGGCTGCTAACGACATCCACATCACACCAACAGGCCAAACGATTGTGAAAAAACAAAGTAATCAGCAACAGCATCCTGTCAATACTCTAAACTGTACCTCCCAGCAAGCTTTAAGTCGATAAACCGAACTGCTATTTAAAGCAGAGTAGAGAGCGACAAGCCCAGTAAAATTGTTCAGTTCTTCAAATACAGCCATCACGTCCAGTACTCGAGAAAACATATACACGCGTTCCTCCAGCGAAGGGGTTTCCACAATGGCACGCGCAACCCAATAAGTCAACTAAAAGCAAACATCAGAATGTTCTCATCTCAAGAATGCTATTCAACAAAAGAATGAAAATTTAGCATAAAAATAGGAACAGGCCGGTCGTGAAGATAATGTTCAACAAAGCGCCCTTCCCAAATGACATAGGCACGGAAGTTAAAATCCCTTTCGTCCTTATTCCCCGCTCGAAAAGCGCTCGCCAACAGTGACTCTCTGCTGGTAATGCTGTCGATGTTCCCATCTTTCAGAGACCGAGAATACTGTACGCAAGTCTAAACCTGTTTCACATTAGTATGATATGGCGCAATGCGATTATTCTTCGAATGAGCCGATCGAAGTCAACGAACTGGCCGAGCACCAATTGGAGAAAAAACACCACAGTCAAAGCAGCAGTGAATAACAATTACAAAGAATACAGCTAACCATGGTGCTGTGATCAATGAGCTTCAGCAGTTGTGGACTTCGACGGTCTTTATCACGCTTTGTCCACGCAGAACCAACCAATTCGATTGGTTTGATAGCTCTGTACAGATCGAACTGTAGCAACGTAACCTGCCGGCCGATCTCGATCGGATGAAGCGTCAAAAGATCATACGTTTCAACAGCACCCTTCTCCGCTGTATGCCAGAGTATCTAAATGAACATCATCCCAACTAAACACGGCATGGATCTGCTTCCATTCATATCAAGCAATGACTGATGCACTTATTCGCTAAACAAAAAATCTTCAAATCTCAGTACACAAAGCCAACTGATGAAGGCGGATGGACCGACACAGCTAATCAGTCGACGCGGTTTGCCCATATAACTAATCCATGAACGCTGACTCACCGGACTAATTCTCGAGGGCAGATAATCTCGTCTCAAATCTGAGAGAAGCTAGAAGCTGCCTGCCTCACAATCTTGCTTTCATTACACAGAAGAAAAACGTTTTTCAACATTTATAGTGTAAATACGACGCAGCAAAACAGTTCTCAAGCACCAAGTCCATCCAAAAATATACCTTTGGTTTCTGTGGACCATAGCAGCTCGGTGTGAGGGGAGACGTAGGCTCGCTTCCCGATCCACTCTGCTGAATAGAGGAAGCCATTGCGTCCGCTCGCTTCTTTCTTTCAATACATGTCTGTAAATTACCATAACCAGGGAATTATAAAAACTGTGGGAATAACGCGAAATAAGACCCTCCGATGTCACGGTCTTTGAAATCGCTTTTCAAATTGAAAGGAAAAAATGTTCATGGCTCTTTAAATGTTTTATAGAATTGCAGTTGTTTGTTTTTTACATTAAATAAGGATGGGGGCCACTGTTTGATAATGAAAAAAACCGGAGCAGATAAAGAAGTTACTTTAATGCTTTTGCACCACTTCTTGTACTGATTAATAACTTTGCCATGGGAATCAGTTTCGTCCAGGAACGCGCACAAATGATCCAGCAGAACCGAGTCGTTTTCAAAGTCGTACCAATGCTTAATGACCCACTGCCGTATCACACTTAGCACCCTGCAGTGCAATTCATTGATAAATTAGGTATTCTGACCTAAAGACGCCCGAAATAACAAATTTCATCTTCAAAATAACGCACAGTGGTAGGGTGGACAAGCCGAGAGACCAAAACCCAATGATATGGAGGAAAGTAGATGCTTCGCTTACCTGCACTGAATTGGTCGCTGATACTCCTTGCGAAATCGCTGATAACTCCGTGCAGTTTTGTCAAACAGCTCCCGAGATAAAGCATATCGCCCATCCAATAATTCGCTGCAACTGGCACAGTGTATCCAACCAGGTATCTATGCAAAGAGCCCTACTTCTACGCAACGAGGACGCAAGATCACTAGCAATCGGAAAAAATAACATGCAAAAATCAAATTGAAGAGTCTAAAAATTAAGTTACGTAAGCAGAGCAGTTGGCCAAAACGGTATGAAATTTAGAAAAAGTATCGAAAATATTAATGACACTTTAATGAACGGCTGTTGGCCGTCTCACTGTCACGTTTTTCCCCGTCTTTGATGCAGATGCTGTATTTCGGGTCTCTCCCATCCATATAATTCCACTGCGGTGTCCAAATTATTGTTCCCTGTGTTGCTTTAACATTCCGTGGGTGGCATTTAGTTACCCAGTTTATATATCCGTTTTCATTTTTGCCACATTACCAACTTAGCTCTTCTGTTCTGCCTTAATAACATCGCTTATACCGGATCGAAATTGCCGTACTTTAGTGGAGATTGGCACCAGCCATACCTCCTGCTAAAGCTCACTATGCCGCCGCTAACTTCTCCCGATCAGGCGTGGTATAGTAGCTTCTCTCTTTTAAAAATGTTATCACAGTGGGAATGGAATGTGTCGTTTTCACAGTCGATGCTTTGCAAACGTTTGACAACTCGCAAAGTGGCTGCTCCACATATCATGCTCTTTTTCGCCTTCTCAACTCGTCCCTCATTCATGCTTTTTGGCCTCAAATATTTACAACTACCCACCAGTTCAACAGATTAATTCACAATTCTCATGTCGAACATGGAACAGCACACATTCATTTATTTTATTTTTTCCTGTAAAGATTTAGAGTCCATTTTCCTTCGCCCTGGTCACACACTCAGCAAGGATCATGACGTTGCCTACCAAAATATAAATTCAAAAGTATTTTAAATGACGAGGATTATTACTGAGAGTGCGCAAAATCCTGCTAAAAGAGCATAAATGTCTACTAAAAATGCTCTTGGAGCTAGAAGTGCATACAAATTGCTACATTTAAGCAAGCGGAATACGAAAATAGCAAAAAAAAAAAATTCCGTTCAGAGCAAAAGGTAAAACCCCTTCCTGATAAGTTGTGCAATTCTAATTATTCGAATCTAAAACAAGGACAAATTTTCGCTTTGTCGGAAGCTGCTTATGCCACTGAACGCTTACTAAACACATCCCGTCGGCTCTTTCTATCCATAAGTGCACTATGCATAGAGCCAGGCATTTTTTCCTTACGACACACGTGTATCATAAAGAATTTTGCGGCGCAGCCCCTGTTTCACTTATCGGCTACATCTGCCAGCTTACATACGATTCGGATTTTTACAGACATGGTAGTAAGGCTTTGCCAATTTTCAAAAAAAAACCTCGGACCCAAGAGGGGTGTATTCGGAGCATGATCTAAGTTCTTTTTAGACTGCATGAATAAAACTGCATAGATCAAAATTTTACCGTGTCTGCATACTTGCCAAGCAATTTGAATCTTCTATAACTTGGAGCTCAATTGGCGTTGGCACTCGAAATCGCTCGATAAGCAGCTCCAAAAGCTCCGGGGCGGTGCAAAATGAGCGATAGGTGGTGAGGAATGTGCGAACAAAGTTATTATCTGTGTACCTGGAAAAACCCATAAACAGTACACTACAAATTGTATTTCTGGCATTAATGAATTGTCAAACAGGAGCTGTAAGGCACCCAGCACCAGTATTTTATTTTTTGATAAAATTTGAAAAATTTAAAATCAAAAATTGAACACTTACAAGTGATAGGTGAGACGCTCGACAAGTTTCAAAACAGTGCCGTGCTTAACAACTGGGATGCCTGCGCTAGATGTGTAATCTTCAAACACAATGTTTTCATCGCAATCCTGATCAGCGAACCTGAAGTGCAGCGACTCACCGCCACTTCAAAATCAACTAGTAACATTCATGAAATATCCGAAAAGAACTTCTAAATCTTATGCCAATTACAAGCCAAAACCAAAACTACAGTAGATAGGCAGCAGGTTGAGATGTTGCGCAACTGTTTAAGCAAATTAAACATTTTTGGGATAAACAGGCCTAAAGACGGCTAATTACAAAAAAAAAAAAAAGTTGGAGTAGAATGTTACATAAATCTTATTTCACAGATACGAATGATCTACTTTCCGTGTTAAAAATGCTGTAGCAAACAGTGGATGGCGCCAACACGAACAGAAATCACACCTGTACTGCTCGGGTGTAGGCAGAATGAGTGGAAACAGTTTTTCCTCTTCTTTCAATGAAGCGTCCAACATGCGATCCAGTGAACTAAAAATTTTCTTCTTAGGCAGTATAAATACTAAGAAAGGCTGCTTTTTGTCATACCCAACTTCAAATCTTTGAGATTTAAAACTTAAAACACACTGGACTGCTTCTCCAAAATTTGCCTAAAGTTGCCAAAACTTGGTACACGCAACACTGTTACTGAGCGGTTAAGGGGAAACTCCCTAACGCGCCAAATTTTGCATCTTATCAATTTCCGACGGCAGCGAGTGAAAAAATATGTCTGAAAGCTTTAACGAATTTCTGCTGCTAAATCTGTATGCTGAAGGACTGAAATCACTGATAATTTTGCAGTACCAATTCCCTCAAAGTTTTCTATTCCCTACCGCTAGTAACCAAAAACTTCTAATATGTCAAACTGAGTAAGCCCAATAAGGTAACAGCGATAAGGAGCTTACCTTTTTGTCTGGATTCTAACCAAATCGCTCATCCAGCTGATCTTCTCTTCCGGCGTTTGACAGAATAGTACCCACGAAACGTTTTCCCCTCTTTCATGGCATATTGGCCGCGAAATGATTTTAAATGCATTCTGAAGCTCTGCAATTTCACTGACTTCACAGAACATTTCAAAATCGCCAGCTGTAAGTAGGAATTACCAAGAGAAAAGAGGGAAATACTGTGGACCTTTCGAAGCCTGCCTGCACAGTAATTTTTTACATACACAAAAGCAGAGTTTCCGACTTTCGCCGGTCCCATCTGTTTTATTTTGAACTGTCCTCCTCCTACTTTTGCCTGTACTTGCAGGAATCTCCTGCAGCACTTTACACATCTACGATTAATTTTATATTCATTTCATTATATTTAACTTGCAAACAACCTTCGGTATCCTTCAAATCGAATATGTCCGTTTTCCGTATTAGTATTTTGTCCTTGAATTTATACACAGGCCTTTCCGACTTCGATGGACGCAATGTTTTGCACAACACCAAGAGATGATCGAAAAGGAACGTGTGACGCACTGCCACACCGCGACTTTTCTTCAGCGTATCTGCAAGGATCAGCACTGTTATATATAGCACAAAATTAACTTCGTATTATCATTGTCGTCGTCATTTCCTCAGAACGTAACTATGTACTATTGAAGAAGGTGGCAAATCCTCCTCGATTGGTGGTAACCGAAAATGCAACAACTGAAACGGGGGCACAATGTTCTGGCACTCGTCTTCTTGCTAACAGGCAGAACATGCAGCAAAGCCTCCACTACCAGTGTGGTTTTTCAATTCATTCACTAGCGACACGGACAGAAGAAGACGCGCTGTAAGTTAATGCAAAACTGACTGAACTCAGATGCTACACTCGAAAAAATACCCCATTTTTCTTCAAACGAGCTGACTGCACTCGATCCTGAATGTTAGATTTCTCGATCTCCGCAGTTGCAGATGTGCTGCTGGAGAAACCCCAAACAATGAGTTTATCCTTCTTTGCAGAAACATTAAACGCAACGAACTCCAAGAGGAAATCACGAGAGAGTTTACTGGTTGATTTCAAAGTGAGGAACCGAAAGAACCCTTCTTTAATATCACTGTGCTGAAGGAAATAGCACATAGCGAAACAAGCTCACTAACGAAAACAACGGACTCCGGCTGTCACGGAAAGCGCAGTAAAAGCAAACGACACATGGATGTTTCTCTTCGCGGCCGGCAATTCGATTCGCTTTCAGACGAGCAGTGTACAGAATGTTATTTCGACCACGCGGAAAAATGCAGTCCGACGGACAAGGCAGGATGCTCGCTTTGCTGAGAAGCGGTGAACGTCGCGTATTAGCGAATTCAGAACAGTCTGACCGCAAATTTACGCATACACATTCAAATGTTATATGAAAGTGTGAAATATGAGCTGTTCGCCCGGAAGTGACAAACTTTGGAGCAATTTTTTTGAAAAAGTGCTTACCAGCAGGTGACATTGGTCCTGTTCGTAACAGCGACAAATCACCCTCTGCAAAATTTTTGATAAAACATTCTTTAGCATAATTTACATTCAGTTCCTCGAAAGGAAACCGTGATTTGTTTCTCAGCCTTACTCAAACTGTTGAGAAAGGACCCAGTTTACCGTGCGGTGGCAACTTGGTGCTGCTACCGATTCAGCCGCGCCGTGGTATCAGCCAGTTTGCTTGCCTGTTTGTTTTAAATAAAGCATTGCTTGTTGGGTGAGTGCTCACCGTATCCACACAAGTCCGGCCCCGAGCTTTTTCGTCCCTCCACGCGTTACAAAATACAAATCATTTCTGACCTCGTCAATCACCAATTCTCAATCGCTTTAAATACTATAAAATGCTTTTCTAGTTCATTAAACATTAAGGTACTTATCGAGCTCGCTCATTTGCCAATAAAAAGAACTAGCTCACTAAGATGCAGCTACAGAAGGAGGGCGTTTTCTCTGAGGGCAAATAAATCACGGTCCGACAGTGCTACACCATGCAACAGCTCCTAAAAAGACCAACCTCGTACAACCTCAGCACAAGTGTATCCAATCTCTTTGCCATCCCAAGCTTCAATGCTACGCTGAATCTCCTGAATCCTCCGTAGCTGACGTGAACGATTCGACTCTGGCAGAGCCCGTACGCTTTGCTCCCTGCAAACACGTGCGCATCAACTAGTTGATTCGATCCCTTCACGGACATCGCTACCAACAGGAATAAAAAAATCAACTTTAGTTACTTTTCTGGCCAGATGCACCAAAAAACACTAACGTTTTTAAACGAGTGATGAGAAAAAGTGGGCACAAAGACTCAATCTTCGCAGCAAGACCACAGAAGTAACTTTTTGCGCTTTTCAAATCTTCAATTTCTTCTGATGGTCGCGCCAAATGACATAAAATCTGCAATGGCACGCCGCTGTTGCACATGAAAAAACAGATGCACTGCATGCGCAATCTCAAAGTCCAGGAAAAGGAGTGGTCTGATGTTTTGCCTAATTAATGCAAAGTAATCCGCTACTGTTCTGAAATTATGCCTGCTTGCCTGTAACTCTGAAATTTCGTTTTTTTGCCTTTTTACAAATGTGCATGCGCAAAAAAATACACTACTCGGACACTGTTCGGAGCGCGTCCGTACGCTTACCCGGTATTTCAACTTCGCAAAAAAAAAAAAAATCACCCGATCCAGAAACATAAATTAATCACTGTATTCTCCTGCATTACGCAGCGACAACTATAATAGAAGATCGCACATCCAAACCTGGAGGTCGCACAGTGTATATACGGATTTTATAACTCAACTCACTAGCCACCTTCCATACCACTGCTTTTCAGATGAATCAAAAGTGGAAGAAGTCAAAATCAAGCTCCTCCGCATCTACTTTTCATGGAAGGCAGAGGCACTAGGAAGTATCCCAGATTGTAGGATGTGCCGAGCTACCGCTGGTGGGCCCTTCTTTTGAGAGCTGCTTAGAAGCAAAAGAGGTCACTCCTAATTTACCACAAAAACGAACGAACGAATCGTAAAGAGGTAGGCCGATTCACTGGTGAAAGATAACGTCTCCACCAGGACAGCAGCGCTGCACATTCGCCAGCGTACAGTTGAAACTACATATAAAAACTGCACAGCAAGCAATGTTCACTAAAGCATACAAAAAGCGCATGCTTCTGCTGGCACCTTAATGCACGCCGCCGTTTGCCTTCATCCTCAAATCTCAATCCCATACTTCTCTCATTACAGCAAAACTGAAGCAGCCAGTGAATTATTTTGCCTTTTCGGAAAACCCGTAAGCGGCTTGGGTACGCGCCAAAAACACTCGAAAAGTACCAACTAACATTTGTCATTTCAACATATCGAAAGAAATGCACAACAGGAATTGTCATAAGAGATGGAAGAACATATTTAACGGCCAGTCGAAAAGTCTTGCCGCCAGGAGTGACACTGTGAGTACGATCCTCCAGCTGAAAAAACGGACATTTGCTGCATGCAACTGCAAAAAAACCTGCAGCTACCTCGTCATCGGTGGAGAGTAATCCCAAACCCTGGAAAATCAGCGCAGGGTCCCAAATGCAGATCGTTAAACACCTGACATTGGCAAATGCTTTGTAATAATGTACAAGCACTGATCCAGTGCACTAAAATTTAGAAAGCAGTAAAAAAATTGCTGACAAACCTACTTACCTGAAAAAAAGGTTTGTATTTACTGTCGTTTAACACTTTTTGCGTCACAGCCGTCAAGGAACCTTTGAACAAATTCTGAAACAAAGAAAGAATACGAGCGAATCAAAAACGAATTTCCCCGATTACACCGACCCGGGCACTCTAACGAACTAACAACAATAACTAGAACAGCATAATTCTCAAGAGCAGAAAAATCGGAGCAGAATCAGCCAAAGAAACCTGCATTGTCTACAGCGTTGCAAATTCAATAAAAGATTTTTCAGGAAATATACAGAAGAAGCTGCAGTGTTGAAAATTCCATCACGATTTCCAGTCACACTCTAGTACTTCAGCTGCCCCACTCCACACACAATTTACTCAGTCAAAACACAATAAACACGGTCATCCGCTCGAATCTCTTTAAATGGACTTTACGTTAATGAAATCGATTCAGACTTTTTTCCGATTCACCTTAAAATAAAAAGCAAGAAAATGAACACCAACAAAAAAATTTTGAAAATTAAAAAAATCTTTGAATTTATTAAATTTCATAATCGAAAAATAACAAGTTCATTGCGTGCAAAACTGTTTTCAATTTTGACTCATTTGCAGGCTGTGCATTCTACTTGAATTCCACAAAATCAAAACTCCGCTAAACTGTGCACACGTTGGCGATTTAAAAATGCACCATGTATGTGATATAAACATCGAATTCCTGCGCTTCGGCGAGCTCCCACAGGCCTGAGCCAACACAGGGCGTATCGGACATCTCAATTGCATCTTCCAGCATCCGCTGCACTTTCACCGTTAATTCATGCAGTTCCAGCACGTTTGCAAACATCTCGTCCAGATAGTGCTGTAATCCAGGCCCATAACAACCAATCACATTATTTGACAAAATACAATTCCGACTGCTACTGGCTGATGTAGCGGCAGGACTGCGTTCGCCTGCGAGAAATATCAGACCCATACTGCGATTCGGTACGCTGATCAATGGTGTGTCCCCGGGAGCCAGGACCGCTTTTTACTTACCTCTCCAGCAATTCTCACTGCAAAAAGGCCAATTTTTGCGCACCTTATCAGAGCCCTGAAGAACGGTTTCAAAACGGCGTCGAAAAACATGGACAATGAGACTGAGCTCACGCAGATACTGCTCCTCCTCGTGTTTAAAATCACGTGATGCCTGAAATCAAATCTCTGATGAAAGGAGAAATAAGAAAAAACTGGGATTCTTTCTAAAAAACAGATTCGCATTTTCAAAAAAAAAAAAAATATTCCGGTCACTTGACTGTCGCCTCCTGCGTGTAACAGGGTCAGCAGGGAATGTGTGAGATATGCCAGATTTAAGAATACTGAAGTATTTACGAATATAAATGAAATACGCAACCATTTTACGATCCCTGGAGAGATGGCGCACAAACATCGAACATGGTGGTAGTCGGTACTAGCCGGAGATGGGTAGCTCGTCGACAACTTAACGCCACTAAATGGGAACTTCAAATCGGCTGCCTGTGCGGTCTTGGCAATTCAAAAGAGAGTAATAATGAAGGCAGCCACTTTTGAATTCAGCAGTATGAGAAGACGCGCCTAACTTAAGCGAAGAATGCACCGGGACGCAAGTAAAACTAGGCACAGTCAGGCGGGCAGAACAAAAGGACATCAAAAATGATCGGGCAGCAGCACCTTATCATAGGTCATCTCGTGCACAATATCTTCGACATTATCATTTAGAATTCCGGCCGTGGATGCCTCCTCTTCATTGTACAACATCTCCGTAAGTTCCATCAGACTCTGCAAATTGACACACGTTCTCATCTTCACGATCAACACAGCAGATGATGGCTGCCAAAAAGGGAGGCAATGATTGAACTCACTGTATCGGCACTCAGCGCGATCTTCAGATTTTGCAGACCAATTGATGGATTACATTTGCGTATATTCTTCACATAATTCCCAGTCCACTGAAAGAGCACGGAAACCCGATTATCTCTGATAG